CCCGACGGGAGGCAGAGCGCTGGTTCTCTCCGCTGCAACAAAGTCCAGTTTTTATCGTGATAAACTTCAGCTTCAAATTCTAACTGCGATGGCCCGTAGCATTGTAACCAAAGTGCTGACAGTTTCAGTGGAAGTGGCTTCAATGGGTATTAAAAAAACCAAAACAAGACAAAGAAAACCCACTTTTTCTTTTTTTTTCTTTTTTTTAAGCAGATTTTTTTTCTCATCACTTCAAAAACCGGGAATTTGTTTACTATGCACTATGCATTTTGCTAAGGGTTAAGCCAATTCCATTTTCCAGAGTCTTTCTTCCCCCCACCCGCCCCCAGGAGACGGTTTCCTTAGGAGACGCTGGAACAACGAATACTCGGGGAGCCCATTTGTGTAAGGACCTTGTCCAGCCACTGCAAAGGACCGTTAAGATGCAGCTCAATCCAGCAGGGAGTACTGGTCACAGTCTGCCGCCTACAAGAAGGGGGAGAGAAGAGAAGAAAAAAAAAAAAAGAACATCAACGTGACTTACCAAACTTTACAAATGCGAAAAGGTTTTACAGCTACTGAAGCTTTCTTTCCTGCTTAGACAATACTCTTGCACGCGGGGCCAAAGGGACGTCCCTCTCCTCTGTAACATGCTTCTGGCTCGTGCTGCCAACTTCTTTTAAAAACCCTTCCCTGTCTCTTTATGTTTCTTATGATCCCAAAGGAGCAACTCACTATATAACCTATTTACTACCCAGATTCCTGAAAACAGGCGGCATCTGATTCCCTGAAGGGAAAGGAAGGTGCTTATCTAAGCGAAATCATCCCGTTTTATTTTGCAGACCTTGCCTCTCCTAACCAGATAGCAAGGTAAGCGGTTTACCAGACAGGTTAAACTTCTCTCTGCGTAAGACAAGGATCTTCTTTTTACCCTATCTTTAGGTTTTAGCAGAACGTGGAGGTGATGGAGAGAGGTCACCACTCAGCCGTTCAGCCTCCCTCCTGCAGCCCCACGGAGCCCTGTTCCCCGTGCGGCCAGAGGTGCCGCTGAGCCTCCTTTTCGCACGGCTTGGGAAGGACGCGCTGGAGGTTTGGACCCTTCGCTCCACACGCTGAGTACGGGGCCGCTCCAGCAGATTCGCGTTTCATCAGCTGCCTCAGAAGCAGCAGAAACGCTGCAGGGCGTAAGAAGCTGCAAAACCTCTCGGAAAGGCCGACCCACGGCGTTAAACCCTGCGTTTTAAAATCCTTCGAGAGCCGGCGGCTGGGACCAGGGAGCAGAGGGGGATGCCTCGCTGGGTCAGCTCTTACTCTCCCCGGCCACAAAGCACCTTCCCCCTCTCCTGTCTGCCTCTCTGTTATTCTCCCTGAGGCCAGACCCCATGGAGCATCTCCAGATGGTAAGGCAGGAAGAGATGGGGAGGAAAGGAAGGGAAGGGAGGCCAAGGCACGGGGCAAGGGGGTCTCCCGCCTCTGCCGAGGGGTGGCAGGAGTCTTGTTCCAGGCAGAGGGGCAGGGACAGCTGCTGTGGAGGAGGAGGATTATGGAGAGAAATAGCCTGGAAACAGCCTTGTTTTACACCCAGAAGCTGTCCTGTGTTTTTTCCCCCAGAAGCTGCCCTGTTTGTGGGAGGGAGAAGTCAAAGTCTGCGGGGCCCAGAGAGAAACCGCCGCTGAAGAGGGGACTCTCTGCTCCGTGGGGCTGCCCTGCGCTCCCCCCCGCCTTCCCTGCCCCTTCGCGGCAGGGCAGAGGAGCGGGGGCTCTGGGGTTCAGCTCGGCAAGGCTTTGGCCAAGGGCTGTAACCCCTCCTGTTGTTCAATCTGCAGCTTTCATCCTTGGAGCTGAAAATGGCAGCAGGTCCCTGAGGGCACCCCACCCGTTCCCAGCTCAGGCGCGGCTGAGCGGAGCTGGCAGGCCAGGCGGTGCCCCAAGAGCGGGCATACAGGGCAGGGCTCGTCCTCTCCAGCCACCCAACGGTAAGTGTTTTGCATTAAAGGCTGCCCTCCTGTTTGGGCAGGAGGACTGCAGGGCAGGGAGAGCGGAGCACCTCTCGCTCGGTCAGCTCCAGCGACGCACGCCAACCTCCCCGGGTCCCAGGAAAAACCAGTCTGCCTGAACGCAGAGCGTTCCCCTCTGCTGCCTGAAACCAGCCCAACGCTGCCCAGAAACCCCCTTCCCGTGGGGCTGCCACACTTCTGCCCTCCACAAATCGACGTGGAACTTCCTGCTGCCTGCCCGCCTGGACGACCAACACGTCGGCTCCAGACTTTCGGAAAGGCAAACCCTCGACGTTCCCCATGCCTTCAGCTTGCTCCACCAGGCTCCCGCTGGACAAAGGAGAACCTCTGTAGGACAGGCTGCTCACGCAATCGGCTGCTCCTCGCTTCCCTCCACCAACCTTAGGCACACAAGAGGACTAAACACCCGAGCGATCAGGCTGCTCCAAAGGCTGAGCAGCTGAACCAGCCGTCGCTGGAACAGGGCTCTGGGTGCAGCTCCCCCAGTAACGATTTTATAGACGAATCAGTTCAACAAGTAAACGTGCTCTGACAAAGGCAATCAGATGTAGTATTTTGTGGCAAGGAAATGAAGGAGCGAGAGAGCAGCTTCGGCGCGGTCAGCGCGAGCGTAGGGTTTCACTGCCTACAATCCTCTAATGATAGTTGACTTTCCGTAAGTCACGCTCATCTGGATTTCATTACGAGCCGTGGCTGCGAGCCAGGGCTGAAAGGCTCTGGCCCGGGTGCAGGACAATTTCAAAACAAAATGGACTCCAAACATCTGGAGAAATGAAGAAAGTGGGAGAGTAACGTGCAGGGCCCAGGCTCCAGCTGATGCTATGGCATCTCCCCCCGTCTGCTGCGGGCGGCCGTGCGAGGGGAGCATCCGCAGACAGCCTTGCTGCTCGGGGAGGCAGGGACTGCCCCCAGGTTTTCAAATAAGCCTACAGATTTAAAGGGTGCACAGTCAAGTTAAGTATTTCAAAATCACATTTGGCTGAAATCCTTGCCAGCTTTCTCTCTCATAAAACGACCTTAATTTTCCAATGAATTTCGTCTCCCCTACTTGTACTATTCAACACCGATGTCACTCCCTTTGCTACTCAGGGACGTTTGCTGGCTAATGCAGTGGTGACAGCAACGCAAGCTGTGGAGTGCTCCGTCCCTCACACTGTCTCCACTGTCCCTCTGTTGTCAGAATAACCACGCCACCGATCTCAAAAATCGGACCCTACTGCATCTCCTTTTGTACCTTCAATATCCACCAGGAAAAACAGCAACCCTGTTCCTCCTACTGCCTCCGGTCACCTTTAAGCAATTGCCTTATGACAAGCACTAAGGAAAGGATGAGGAGATATAACCATAATTTTGCAGCAACTCTAGCAGTTCTTCCAAATATAAATTTTGAAGCCAATCTGCTTTTATTTTAATCCCATTAGTCCCTGATAAAAGAAGCATCAAACCCAAACCATACCTATTACGAAGCACTCGCACTGATCCTGCCCTGATAACAGTGTAGTCATAAGGAAAAAAAAAAGGTAATAGTTGCTACACAGGCCACCTGGATTTATCTGCTGTGCTTCAGGTAAAGCTTTTGGTTCGTACAACACCGTGACCAAACGCACGTGGTCTTCCAGGCGTACCAGATAACGCGTATTTTGCACAAATGGGTTGGGAAAACCAAGAGACGAGACCAAAGCCCCCTCTCAACAGCTACACCCCATCTGTGTTACTGGAGAGACGCTGTGCTGACCCCCCCCCGTCTCGCAGGCTGCGCGAAGGAGCCCTGCAGAGCTCCGGCCCAGGCTGGGGAATACAAGAGCGCGAGGGCAAGGCCAAGCACGCCGCGCAGGTTCCTGACCTGTATTCTGCTCCCCATCCCTTGACAAAGCTCATTCGGATGGTGCACATTCTGGTCAGCTGGTACACAGCTTCGAAGCCCTGATTCACAGACTGAGCCAAGAGAGCGGCGAATTCCTGGTTGTTAAAAATCTTCAAGTTACATCCTGTGAAAAAAAGAACACAAGGACAAGGCATTAGCTCAACCAGAGGAAGAAACCCCTTTCTTCCTGAGGATGGAACAAACTCAGTGCTGCTTTCCCATATCCTCAGACTCCGTGATACTATACAGATTGATTAAACACAGCATTTCAGAGCAGGGAATCAAGGATGCCACGTTTCCACAGCTTATGTGTGAGAGGAAGAAAACCACGTTACAGGACAGAGAACGACGAATGCTAGGGCCCGCGGAGCAGATTGTGATCTACGGGACCAGACTTGGGATCCTCACGTGGAACCTCCTTCCATCTCCTTTACAATCACTTCCCTCATGTTGTAATTGAAAAGCCTAAAGAGATCCGTAACGCTTAACAACAGCAATCGCTACAGGGCCTGAAAGAAAGGAGGGCACAGGCTAAAACCAGGAACTCAACTGGTGTTGGGATGGATTTACATGATGCCCGTCAGCAGAAGTAACGGAGAAGTTCTGAAGTGAAACTGCTCTGGCAAGCCAGAAATCAGTTCTCAGGGTTAAAAAGGCTGGTGGCAGAGCTGCTTCTGCTGTAATCGGCTCTTAAACGTACCTGCCATGCGCCAAAGAATTTTCCTTTAACACTGGAGTTCTTCTCCAATGTTTAGTCCAGCTGAAGGACTGAGAACAACTTATTCCACTGGTTTTAGGTGATATACAACATCATCCTTCATAGTTTAAACAAACAAACAAACACACAACTCTTAAAAAAAGGTGTTGCTATGTCGCTTTCTCCCAGATAACCATAAACCGGGCGCACAGCCGATGCTCATTTGGGGTTACGCACGGGCCAAGTCTGAAAAAGAACCGTTTGGACTGTGATGGATTGTGTTTTTCTAAGATCACTTCTGAGCCTGTTCTCTTGGGCTGGACTCGTACTGTCATCTGGTTTGGGTCGAACTGCAGTCAGCAAAGCGTAACGACACGCAACAGCTCAGCAGCTGCAGAAACAACGGCCCATTTTTGTGACCCTAGAAGAGCACAGCCCAAGAGCTACGTGTCTTGCCGAGAGCCTGAAGGGAAGCTGCATCAGGCACATGGCAGTCTAAGGCGGGACAGTAAGAAGGGTGGGAGCATCAGGGCCAGGCTGAGCACAGAGCGATGGCAAGGAAAGCAAAATACTTGGTCAGGATCAGACTGCCAAGCTCTTCAGACTTCAGGACTGGATGGGAACAGGTCTCTCCACGACTGGGCCTGGGAGGAGCTGGGACGACTTGATCTGGTCAACAAGGGAATGAAGAAACTGCTTCAAAGCCAGCAAAGGTTTGAAGATGAGCCTCAGAAGGCGGCCAAAGGCTGTGGCAAAAGTGGGGAGAGCTGCAGTCCAAGGAACGTGCCTTGGATGAATCGACAGTGGAAGAGTGGGTTGTTTATGTCTTCAGATGTTGACTCCAGCCGGGGTGGACTCTTGTGATGTGGCTGGAGAATTAAGTCATGTTTGCAACACTGGCAGCTGCTTCCTAAGCATCTGAGAAAGGAAATCCATTAAGATGGGCCAGAGCTAGCAGCGTATGGATCTCTTCTCAAAAGTAAGATAATCTTTGTTCAAATATTTCTTAACAAAAAAGTTAATTTTTTAAATATACACATACTTTCAACCGTAAAAAATTTACCTGTTGTAAGCCTAGCCAAATAGCTAATTCCCTTTCGAACGGCATCCTCTCATACTGGCTCTTTTGAATGCATCTAATAAAAAAGTCTTTTCTTCCTAGACAGATGCAATAAATTCTCTCGCAATCTTTCAGCACACTTCAGACATACATTTGCTGTGAAAACAACAAGGTGCCTGAAAATGCAATTTCCCTAGAATAAAACTAATTCACAAAGTGTGGGGGGGGACGTTTTACTACGGAACGGAAAGAAGTAACAATTTCAATCTACTATGGGTGAATCTGAATTCAGAAAAATTTCTTACGTTATACTCTTTTACTTAAAGGTACAAACAAAATGATAAACGTGACTCTCAGACAATGACAACACAGTAATTGTATTGTAAACACTGCACGGAGCAAGTGGCAGACTCTGCTCTTAGTTCTGCTCAGATCCTGAAGTACTGCTTCTTCCTACTTGTACGCACACGGTGCAGACAACTGTTGCAGCTTCCTTTATCAGGACCTTCATCCTTTAGGCTATAAAAAAATGCCCTGCTCGAGCTGTAAGGTGTTTTTAAGAGGGTAAAAGTTTCTGATTATTGTCAAGGTCAGCAAATCCACTCCTACCTTGGCCAAGAGCTTGCTTTCCATAGCACGTCCCCGTTTGCAGACGGTGAAGGAGCACGGATAAGGCACGCTTCCTTACCTGGTGGAATCTTGCAAACTGTTGCTGGGTGCCAGCCATAGCGTTGGTTGCAGTTGGGAGACTGGACAAAAATGGCACTGTCACTAAGGCACTCGGCAAACACCTCGCCGCCGATGTAGTAGAGTCTTACTCCTCTTCCTAGGAAACACACGGGTTTGGTTTAGCTTAGGATTATCTGCAAAACCTGCGAGAGGAGCTGGTAGAGACGTGGGCAACCTCTGCGCGGGGCAGCTCTCAAAACGCAGCTAAACCACGAATTATGGAAAATGAAAACCACCTCTTTTTGCCCACGGGTACTCCCATCAGGGGGCAATAAATTTGCTCTGCGAGCGAGTTAAGCCGAGGAAGGCAGGGGGAACCATTTATAAAGCCAGAACGGCACTCTCTGGCCCCACTGTCAATCACAGCCTGGACTGCCTAAACGTACCACCTCACAGCCTGCTTACTCCAAACATACATGTCTCTGATATTTTCCATATGAACGTTCTATTAGTTAACACATGGCTTTCAACCTTTTCACAGACATCGCAGCTGGATGTGACTGTTTGTTTATTTACTTTGTGATCTGGAATTAAATTATACGACATTTTCAAATCATTGCCTTTTGCTTGAGATCACATTGTACACAAGGACATACATTTCCCATAGGAGTTTAGACAAATTATTAAAGTCTCAGTTAATAAAGAAACAAATTTCGCAAATACATCTTTCTTGCTCAAATAGACAGTTGCTGTGGTCTTACGCTGCTGTTTGAATACCTTGCTTTCGTTCTTCCACAGAGCACAAGAAGCCTGCTGAATTTAAAGACTGATTTCTGAATCTTGGTGTGTTTTGGGGGGCTGGAGTTCTTTTGGTGCTAGAAATCATACTAGAAACAAGTAAGGAAAGATCCTCCTGTATGAAAGTTTACTGCTCAGGAAAGGGTACGAAGGGGAGCAAAATCAGAGCAAAAAGTAGGTTCACTTTTGACAGAAGTCTGCAGAAAACGCAGCAAAATATTAGCAGTTTTGCCTCTTATTAAAATCGCATAAATCTGGGGTATTCTCTTCAGCGCAAGTTTAACTGAAAACAAACTTGAGTGTCGCCTTGCAGCATAAGCAGGAAAAGCATAAACTGAGATGACAATTAAGGAATTAAGTTTCCATTTATAAAAGAACAGCCAGTTAGAAAATCGAATCGTGCAGGAGGGAGAAGGAGTATCCAAGTTTATCTAAGTACAGAAGAGCGCATGTGACAGTTTAAATTCTGCCACTACGACCTCCAGAAATCTTAGTCTTTCTCCGTCATTCCTTTATTATACTTTTTACGAAAAAACACAATTAGTGTTCCTTTATGGAAGATCAGCCTGCCAAAACACCATGGCTATTCCAACACCGCAGTGCTCTACAACTGACCACACGACATGATTAGCGGAACAAAAAGCTTGACGTGCAGGTCTCCACCTTCCACCTTGAAAGACACTGACTAAACCAAGGAAATAGAAATTACCGATGTGTCGTCTTGTGAGCTCCACTGCTGCATTTCTGTTCACGTTAGACAGCAAACCAAGGCAGAAGCGTTCAGAATTAGACGGGTCAGTGAAACCATCCACGGTCATAGAGGGCTGAGAGGCGTGGAAAGTCTCTCCCACTCGCTGGTTGAGTTCATAGTAGGATATCGAGCACCAGAAAGCGGGCTCGCAGTAGGTAACAGGCTGCAGATCTGCACAAAAAAAGAAGCAAAATGAATCCCAGGCCCTCAGGAGGGGAAGGGGGGGGCTGGAAAAAAAAGACACCGTTTTGAAATATTGTTCTGCTTCACTCCTCAGGCTCACTTTAACCACCAAACTTTATTTACTTGTCAGACTTGAATGGACTGCAGCTAGAAAGTTACATCACCCCCGAAGCTTTTGGCACATGGAACAATCACAAAGAGTCAAAGACACCAGTCGCTTTGCAAGTGGGGTGTTGCTGAACTATCTTCATACTTGGAGAACATTTAAAAAGTAAACTTAGCTTTACTATGAAATGTGGAATCACTTTTGGGTAGCCAGTACACTGAAAAGAGAAAAGAAAAGGAGAGAAAAGGAAGAAACAGAAAACCTTCGAAAGAGCAGGCCACACCACAACCCTGCTTTCAGTAACACAGCTCTCCAGAAGCCTACTGCTGTGCAAGCAAATCCAACTTTCATTCTTACTGACTCTGTTATGATCTCTCTAGCTGATGAAACCAGTAGAGTTGTCTGCAAGATGCACCCAATTGTACACAACACTGGCATCAAAGCGATTTGGAAATCAGCCACTTTGTTCCACTGCATCAAAAGAAAATCTGTTTTCCCACCAGGTGATGGCACATCTCTTTTATTGGGCTTATGGTTTGACTCAGCCTGTGGATGGAAGCAAAAGGACCAAAGTTCCTGAGCAGCCTGAGGCTGAGGCAGTCTCAGGAAGACAATAGTTGATACGCCTGAAAGGTGGGACATTCAGATGGCGTAAAAATGACTCAACTGCTCCCACTGAAGCCAACGAGGTTTCAGCAGAGGAAAGCTCAACTCAAATATTCTTGGAAATACTGTGCTAGACGGTGCCTGGTCCTGCTGCAAACCAAGAAGCTGCTGAGCAGAGCAAGTGGAAAGCAGACTAAGCTAATTGGTAAGTGCTCTATGCCCCACATTCAATGCAAGAAATAAAAGCAAGAGAAGAATTTCCTCCAGGCCTCCCCCCAATTTATCACTTCATCCTCATTCAAATGGTGCTTAAAAGCAGAACAGAACAGGTCCCATCTGGCCAAAGAGTTAACACCAAGCAGCAAACCCCAGCTTTTTCCACAGGCTTTCCCATCTGTTGCTCCTACAAGGCTTAGGCAAATCTGGGGCTTAAGAGATCAGCTCCAAAAAAATCAAAGACAGGTTTTTACCATCTGAGCCTCCTCTCACACTGAAGGTAGTGTCTCTACAGAGGTTTGAAAGTACTTTCTCATCTGGTACCTGCTGTTACTCCATAACCTTTAGAAACAGGTTGAAGCAGCCTGGCTTCAGCCAAAAGGCCTGATGGTTTCCTCTCCATTACTGTGGTGAACGAGTTCCCAAAGTAGCTAATAATCAGAAAAAACCTTTGGTTTCTGCTTTGTTACCAGCTTTGCTGACAGCAAATAAGGACTTGAATAAAAGTGCACCTGGGGAACTCTGTAATCCTTAGCAGATCTTCAAAGTCTCTGAATTTTGGAGTTCATACCCATTCCCAGCTTCTTTCACAGTCTCTCTCTTTCCTTAGCTATATCATCTGAAAGAAAAATGCTCTACCACAAGCAAAACTCAATGTTCCTACTCTCTTCCACACACTACACCCACAAAAGAAAAAGCCTATCTTCCTCTCACAGAAAAGGATATAATGGTCAAAGTGAAAGCTAACAGAGGGCAGCTGAGTAGAACAGAGGTCGCTACATCCATTTAAGAGATCTGGTAAGCATACGGGCCGTTTCTTCACATTTTAAACATTTTTTAGCGTAAAGCAAGCCCCTCTCCTGATACGCACAGATGATACCGAACATGTCGAGGAGTCACACAGGTTTCTTGTCCCTGTGTTTGTCCCTTGTACGCCGTATTTGCTTGTCCCACTGGAAACTGCCACCATCAGGCTGTATTTCTGCAATACCAGCCCCACTTGAGCAACCAGCAGTTGTGGCCTGCAGCAGTAATCTGTACACATCCTCAGTGACTCTGGGCTTCACGTGTCTCCAGTGCAGTTTGCACAGAGGGACAGCAAACACCAGCACTAATCAGAGCCTAAGGTGTGCCCACCCACTTCAGAAAACAGCCTGGGTTCCACGTGACTGCGCTCTTACGCCACAGCAAGTGCCTTTCTAACTGCTCAGGTCCAGAAAAATCAGATCAGCTGTTGTGGATCCTTAAGTAATGTCCTCAGATTGGTACGATTCAAGTTATAAAAAAATACCAAAGCCTCTATTGCTCTTTATGGTTTCGTGGTCCTTTTCCTTCAGAAACCACCTCCGCTTGGTTGCGACTCAAGGGAGCTGCGGACTCCCCACTGAAGGATGTACGGGAATTTTATTTCCGTCTTATTTGCAACTTGAGGAAAGACACAAACCAACAAATCCTATTTTGAAGGAAAGCTTGTCTCTCAAAAAAATGCGAGCAAGCTTTTAATGATGCTGCTTTCTCCTGTGATTTGTGGTCTTAGGCTTCAGCTTAAGCTGTCGTGGGATGGGCAAGTTTCCTCTTGTGTCAGAGCTGTCCTAAATATTCATTTTCAATTTATGGATGTACTGTTTAGGGAAAAGTCAGAGAATGTAGCTCTGCTAAAGCCAAAGAATCCTGAGGGGGTACACAATCAACTAAAACATGATGCATTAAACCCAAGCAAATCCTGCCTGAATTGTCTCCATCCAATTTCAACCTTGACTCACTGCAGCTTCGCTTTCACGGGCGTCCACCGAGTATTGGGACGCTACCCTCATTGCATCTTCCCTACAAGATAAAAGCATTGTCTGTTCAGCTGCAGAGGGAAGAAACCTGCTGGCTGCTTTGCACACTCTGCAAGTGTGCGCTCTAAGCCTGAGAGCGGTTGTTATGGTGGCTTCAGTGAATGTGTTCGATACACAACGGGCAGCAGAAGCTACTGATACCCTGTATTAGTTGCAGCCACATTAATTCTAACTCCCTCCTCAGAAACGTCGAGATAAAGCAGCAGGCACACTCCCTTCCCCTCTGTACTTTGAGAAGGGCTGTCTTTTCCCTGCTTTGGGAAAAAAGGGTTTCAACACAGAGAGTAACAGAGGCTCACGTTACTGATGGATTTGACCGTAGGGGATGTGCTTATTTCACCGATTTCACTTACAGCTTTTGCGTCAAGTCTTTCGCGGAGCAAACACTGACAATGGATTTCCTGCTCACCCAGGGACTGCCTCGCTCCAAACTAACAATACGCAGGCAACCTCAGGCCTGGCCCTCGGCCAGCGTCAACTCCCTGACTTCATGCCGAACGTCCACATAATGCTGGCAGCTCTCCTTTCATTTTGGTTGTTTTCTCTGTTTTCTCTAGTTCGTATTTCAGTAACACAGAAGGGATCATTTGATATCTACGACTTCCACTTAAAGCTTATGTTTCACAACTGAAAATTTGACAACTGAAAACTGGACGACCGAAAGTCTGGACCAAAACTAGAACGCTACCAAATGGAGGAGAAAAAAAAAAAAAGAATGCCAAAATGTTACCTTGCAACACTTTTGTGCCTGTGATTGGAAAGGTGAAGCTCCTTAAGTTCCTTCAACCCCGTATTACAGTCTTGCAGCTTTATGCTGAAATACATACATCGCACCTCAAACAAACCTAGCTCCTCTTGTCCTAGTCGGTTTGCCTCGTGCTAGTATATTGCCTTCGTAATTCTCTGGAGTATGGCCATGGGGTTTAAGTCCAAGGTTCAGCTTACACAAAGTAAACTGTCTTAAAAGCCTCAGGTAGTTCTGGTCACATAAACAGACACCAATACTGTGACATTATTTTCTTAATGGCGAAGCTGCAACCCCCCCACCCCCACCCCGCACTGCTGCTGAGAGCTTGCTGATAATTTTCCTCATCGGACGCTGTTGTGTTTCTAAAATTTCTATTAATTTTTCTTAACAAACACGCAGAGAAAGCCTGATTAAACTGAAGATCAAAGTCCAGCCCTAGACACCGGAGCGTTCTGCTTATGCACAGAATTATACAGCACAGCAGAAGCAGGAGCACTGCAGGCCACCAGGCACCAACTATCTTCTGTCTAACTGGAGAGAGAACCTGCAGAGCTGAGAAGTTCTGCTCTCACCGCCTGTGCAAGCCCTTTCTGGGCTGCAGAGACCACCAGGCTGAAGGTCTGCTGGTGTTTTCACCTACACTGCTACAAGCAGCTCCTTACTTTAGAGATGCCATTTACAAGGTACAGATGATGACAATTTTGACAGTTTTCAGAGTTGCTCAGCTACATGCCATTTCATTTATTATTCTGTAGCTTCCTCACCTGCAAAAATTTACAATAAAATTTTTAAAAGAGACAAGAAGTTCTTAATTTGTGGAAGCTCTTGCCTAAGAGCAATAAATATTTGGTTTGCAAAACTTAAGAGTTATGTTTTAATGCTGGTAAGTTGAAATGCTTTTCTGATGTCTGCTCCTTAGACTACAAAGGGATTCCTTGTGGTTAACCAGCTTCACCTGCTCCTACTTAGTTTTTGTCACCAGACAGCACATTAGACATCTGACAGGCCCATCAGCTGAGCAGCATGTGTTAATAACCAGTGTCCTTGTTAGAAAGGATATGCACTGGGGCCTCTTTCCTAGAAACTCCTTTTTTCCTTATGTAAGGCAGATGCCACAGTCAACTTGCCTGGTTGGTTTTGTCACATGTAATTGGCTCTTTACTTTTAGGTTGAAAAAAAATTGCTAGAAATTCTCATCAACTCCTAGGCAGCACACTGGAGCATAATGGATTGAAAAACAAAAAAAAAAGAAAAAAAGGAAATAAAAATCAGTCAGCCATGTAGTCTCTTCTTAGGCATTAACAGGTAAAGCAAATAAAAATTTAGTGGCACCGTGGCAATATATCCCATGCTTCAAAAAAAAAATAAAGTCAAAAAAAAAAAAAGGAGGAAAGAAATCCCCACTTCAACAGCCCCAAGATATCCACAAGTCAGCCAATGACTGACAAATTTTGGAGCGGTGTCAAAGTACTCTGTGCCAGCATTAAAAGCATATGTAAACTTTATGGCTATGGTTATTCAAGAGTAATCTCAAGTGGCCTCTGTCTGCTGGCTTAATGAACATTTAGAGAACCGATCCTGCAGCTAGCCAGAGCTATGAGTGCTTTTTATGACAGACCGTTGAGAGCAATTTCAAACAGCGTAAGAGCTCAAACTGACGAGGATCAGACGTTTTATGTCTGCAGGTATGAAAACAAAGGGCAGAGCCGTTTGAGAAGACAACAGAGGTTCAGAGATAGGCACAAAACCTCCAATAGTATCTCAGAGGTAAAGGCCCTGTTCAACTGCTATTCCTTCTTCTTCAGCCTTCCTCCTATTTACTGTCTGCAGGTTATGGAGTGAATCGGTGACATCAGTGCTCTGGTATGAGCACCTAGGGCTGGACTATCTTCCTGGTGCCCAGGATGGAGTTGGGTGGGGGAAAGGTAACTCCAGCTCGCAGTGTAACTTGAGTTTGCCTGAAGGAAACCAAATGGCTGGTCAGTCAGAAAAATCCCAGAGTGCATCTGTGGTTTGTGCATCTCACCTCCAACTTTCCTCCAGGCTCCTTCGAGCATAAGACGCCACAAACACCTCTGATGCTCAAGTAAGGCTGCCCGTGACACCTACACCTCTCCGAACGCCAGCGTTCCTGCCCTCTCACCTCTTTAATTTAGACTCTCCAACCACACACCAACCAACTAACCTCCTCCCCTTTGCCCTGCTCAGACCATGCTCGATTTCATACTACAATCACAGAATCACAGAATAGTGTGGGTCGGAAGGGACCTTTTCAAAGTCACCTAGTCCAACCCCCCTGCAGTGAGAGCAAGGACATAACAACTCACACATCTGGGCCACCAGTTGTTCCAGTGGTTTAGGGGCACTGTGACATGAGGGCTCTAGGCTGCTTTATCCCTACTAGGGCCCAGGGATGCCCCTCAGGTAGACCCATCCTGTGGTCTGACACCATCCCAGCGCTCAGTTTCATTAGAAGTCCCCAGCCACCGCCACCCAAACCCTGAAGGCCATGCCTATCCGTGCTGTGTGACTGCACACTTGCTCTGCTGGGGACGTAGGCTTGCTCCTGAGCTGGGTTTACGTGAGGATGTGATGTATTTGCTGCACTCCAATCAAGCAGATGACTGCCCGAGCTGACGAAGCCGTGCAGGCAAATCTGTTGCTCTGAACCTCAGCGCCCTGTCCACAACATGTGGACAGCAGCATTTGCCCTATAATGCATGTAACACCAAGTTAATGAACATAAAAAGTTACAAGGCACTCTGGTACATTGTAAAAGAGACCAGTAAGCACCGCAAATTTACAAAGTAACTTTCCATGAGACAAAATTTAGCCTCAAGCTGTGTCCTTTAAAAATATAAGAACCAGCAAAACAGACAGACATATTTCTTGCAAACTCATGTAATCAAAAAAAGTGTATTTTTTGCTGCAGTTCTTCACTCACGCTTTCTGGTATCTGTCTGCCAACACTTCTTGGGTTTTTATTTAAACTCTCTAAGTTCAGATTTCTTTATTTCATACAGAGTTTTGATGAACCACTTATCACAGTAAAGAGGATTAGCAGAGAGGAACATCAACAGTGCTCACAACCTCACCAAAAGCGCATAACCTAAAAAAAATAACATCAGCATTAAAATGTCACTATCTTGACCGTAATTACAGTTCTCAAGATCACATGCTTACCCAGATTATTGTGTGCTGGAGACATAGGGTTTGGTGATAAGTTTGGAGAACCTGAAAATCAAGCCATTATAATTATTAGTATGGCATTTACACAAAGGATAACACTTGCACAAAATCATCAGTGTTGCCCAGGCTTGTTGGAGGGATAACCCACTTCTCATTTAAGTCTCATCTTGTGACACCAGCAGCTTCTCTGATGTTGATTACTCTCTACTTGAGCTTCCGAATGCTATTACTTACATCAACTTGCTACATCTGCAATACTGCTAAGCATCTTCACAATGCATTCACTTAAGCCTAACCCATCAGTTTTCAAAACTGAACACGCAGTTGTCTGTTTGACTTCCACTTGTAGTTATCAAAACTCCAGGTACCATCATGACAGCTACAGCCAAACCCAGTTAGCTGGGCATTTAAGAGCTTGATTTTACACTGCTAGGCACAGAACGCACTTGTAACAGTTGAAAACATACCACTTTGTATCAACAAAACTTACTGGGTTTGGGACAATAAAGTATTGGATCAAGCTATACAGATCTGATCAAACAACTGCCAGAATTTTAGCCCAAATCATTTCAATTTGGCCCACAAATATATTTCGGATATCTGCACTTGGATGTCCAGAGCAATTTCCACAGTCTGTGGATGTCACATGGATGCAGACAGGTGGTGCAGCCCACTTTTTCTCTTCCTCTCACACTGACTTCGTCTGTTTTCTTTAAAATTTGTTTTTCTGTAAAGAGGGAAGTCCACGACATCTGAAGGAAGCAATATAGCATTTGAACATAAATCCGGTATTTATAGCATCTTCCAGGCCAATGCTATTCCAGTCCACTTTCCAAAAAGCCCTACATACATTCCACATGTCAACCACATTACCAATAATTGTATGCACTAAAATGGAGCGTGTCGATAGGTTTATGTTTGATGTAGACAAACCAACCCACACTGCCTTCCGCCATCTGTGTAACTGCGGTGAAAGACTGCAAATCAGTCATCCCTCTTTTAGAATCCCACGTATGGTCTATGGTTGAAGACATGCACAGAAACCGAGATACTTGCGCGCAGCATTTGCATTAACTAGGTTCTGCGTATCTGTCTTTATGTAAGCGCATATCCCTCTTGTAAAGCATCAGCTCTTCTAACCAAGGACACATTTTTGCTTTTCAAGCAGAAGTTTCACAAATTCCGAGTCTGATTCAGTGGTTCTTACAAACAGTGACACCACTCAGATGAACAAGAGGCCTTAAACAGTTACTTCCAGAAAGATGAGACTTGCATGTTTAATTTTAAAGTGTTGATACAGGTTAGCATGAACACTAAACCTGGTTACTTGTTTTCCAGGCAACTAGACAGAACGCAGACTTTCGACGTCCACTAAATGATAAACCCATTTAAAACCGAATTTGCTAGTGGTCATTTCAAATACAGTTAAACTGGACATTTAGGTATGTAAACCACCAAGCTATCAGAAAAATGCCCCCGCAAAAAAGCGCCAGCTACATGCAAAATCTTCACGGGCACGGATGCAAATACAACACAAACTATCATCCTTACATGTGTCCCCACTGTTTCAGGCTCCTGCTTAGTAGTATCTCATGATGGATGTTGGGGAGAAGAGGAACATGCTGTACCTTCCACCAGCAGCTCTAAAACACACAGCCCTGTGCTTTACATGAGATGTCAGGCTACATCTGCACTCCTACAGGGATAAAATACCTCAGACCACCGTCTGATCTGCAGCGCCCCAATGAAAAACCTTAAAAGTGTCTGATATGACCTAGAAAGCTGCAGCAAATGGCAAAAGATGACTTACCTGCATCCATGCTGGGGTTCATCTGGTGGTCACTAGTTTCTCCATCCTCACTCAAATAGCCTGGAGGAGGTGTCTCTAGAAGCATAAAATGATCACACTGTCATTGCAACTGGATGCAAAGTCTGGATTTTAGACACCAGAAAAACATTTACTTTGTTTTTCACAAGGAGCTAAATTTCCTTCTCATTACTTTTCTTCCTCAAGCTGCTGAGAGGAGGAGCTGGCACAACCAGGATAATAGGCATAGCATATTCGTGAACAACAGAGGAGGGGGAAACAAAAAAATCTGGATTTTCAGTCCCATAAAACTTTAAGCCATGTAGACGGTTTTCTGTCCACATATTTTTCCTTTCCTGGTGTGCAGCTGCATAGCTTGTCCATGCAAATAAGGTGTAAATTGCTTGTAAAAGAGATACATAAATAGCAGAGCTCAATTCCATCAGAAATTTAGAGTTTTACTCAAATTAAAGTGGCTGAATTTCATTCAAATCTAAACTTGTTAAGTGAACATTCAGCTTTAGATTCCACAATAAACCGAGCAGGTACTACTGAAGGGAAGAGGTGAGTTTAAACAAAACAAAACTATAAACAGCACTCTTGTGTGTCTACATTTACAGCTTTCATCTATTTTTGTATAAGTTCCCACTCCTTAGCTTCATAGTAACGATGGAAAGAAAGACTTTCCAGTCATCCAGCTTGGCATACACAGACACGACTCACTGCGCAATACGACCCTTTTCCCTCCACTCGCCCTACAGAAGATATACGGTACCTGGAATGTAGTTGCTCTGTGGCTCGATACCTGCTGGGAAGTTAGTGTTCTCTGGAATAGAATGACTATAATCGTCTAACGGTGGGAACTCAGCTGGGATCTCCGTGTGCCGAGGCACCAGCACTGGAGGTAACACTGCACAAATGGAAAGGGAAAAAAAAAAAAAAATAGAACAGCAACGTTAGCAGCTTTAAAATAAAATGACTGAAACCCTAGAAAATGAAGAGAAACCAGTTTGGAGTAACACCCTTAAATACATGCAACACCAAAGTCGCTAATTAAGGGACACAATTTGATACCTGCTTCTGAAATAACAGCAGCAGTTAAAGATGCTATTCTTAACGTATCTCAGCTGGGGACGGGATACGGGCTTATCTGAACATACCTAGTCTGTCTGCCCCTTCTCAGGCAAAGAATCAGGTCTTCTTGAAAAACCATTTAAGAGAAGTTATCCCACACGATTCAAAAGGAATAAATTTCACATAAAATGAAACAGGGAGGTAGGATTAGCATAAACATCCAGACTGGTTCCGCAGATTTGTACCGACACGCAGCAGAAGTATCTGCAGTTCCAGATGAAAGTCTCTTTCAGAGGCAGGAGGAGACTTCAGCACAGGAAGTTCAGTTGTGTTGGGAGCTATTCTTAGATCCACTTCAACTTAACAGTAAGTTTATCCTTAATTTAATATCAACAATTAGGGATGCATAGAACACTGCCGTAGTTCATAGTCGTACCTACTACGTGTGCGAGTTGTTTACGAGCACACGATGCCACATTAGGAACCTGGCAACAGCGCAACCTGCTCGACTTGGATTTTATCGATTTGAAACGGTTATTTCCCCCCTGAGAGCAGATTCATAAATTATTCTGCTGTGTACAGTAAGAGATTACATCAATAATAGATACACTTTGGTTTTAAAACCCTGCGCCTGCCGCTTTATTCCGTTTCGAAATGCACTTCTAAATCCCTCGTGCTGGTATCGAGAAGCTGAGGTAGGGCCGCAGCAGTACCTGGAGTTTCCACTCTTTGGTAATGATAAGGATTCACACAGACTTCATCCTTCTTCATGTTGAAGGCGTACTCGCACATCTCCATGGCCCGCAGCTCATGGTGGCTATGAAGGTCTGGCCACCGCCACAGCCGGCAGTAGATCACATGGGGAAGACCCTTGCGGTGAGACACTTGCAGGCGGCCATCTAACGACCTGCGGTCAAGAACACCAAGGGGAGAGCAATTTAGAGGGGCATTAAGGCACGGGCAGCACCACATCCCACCAAACCCCGCGCAGGGGAACCTCACGTGGAGGCGGCAGACGTCGGCGGGAGGCTCAAAGCACAGGCTGCCCAGCCAACTCAGGCACAATCCCGAAAGGTGCTCGTCACCAAAACCCGCCGAGACAGTGCTGCAAGGAGGCATTCTGGTCCCAGTCTTCAGGCCAGTAAGTTATCTCTGAAAACCGTCAACGGTTTGCTTTATAGAACAGCCCTGCTCTGCATTTATTAATGGTTTGAAAAGAGGTTAATTCGGAGGCAGAGACAGGTACAGCAGGTAAGAATACATCAATTTCGTGATACTTCTGAAGCATTTATGTGCGTCTCAACGAACCGGCCAGTTCTCAACAGCTTATGCTGTGCATGTAAAGGTATTACATCTTAAACACGTGCTAATGAAACTGGACTTTTAAAGTACAGAGACACATGGATTTCCATTGTGACAAAACCATCCAAAATCGATATAGGTTATCTTTTCTTTAAACAGGCTCATGAACATGACAAACAAGCAAGGCTTCCAGCTTCATTTTCCAAATTGCAGCTTGAAAGCAAAAAAAAAATAGGGTTTTTTCAGTATTGCTTACTTTCGCTTTTACATCTAGCCCACGTCTCCTCCAGCTCACTTTTCACCTAATCCTATCCTCACCCCAGAATAGCCTGTTCCTAGCAAACCTTCCTGGGAAGCAAGACAAGTATGTTCAATTCCTCTCCGGCAGAGGAAGGAGTTGGAGCAGGGTCTCCTCCACCCTGAATGAGGGCTCCACTGCCTCAGCCACTAAACAGGAACTGCCCCCCAAGCACTTTCTTTGAAGTCTAACCCTTCATTTCCCTTGCTTTTCTTAATGATCAAAATGAAACACTTCAGGGGTTTGGTGAAATTAAATATTTATATTTTTTTAATTTGTCAAGGAAAGGAAGAAAAAGAAAGAAAACCGAAATTTTACTCAGAATTATTTCCCTTGGTTCTTTGTGTTGGCAGCCACTCTAGAAAAACAAAACAAACCCAAACCAAAACTCACAAACAATTATTCCAACAGTGGTTGCGCTAGTCTTGGCTGCCCGAGGAGAGTTTTCCCAAAAGCTCCTCTGGCAGAGCCGGGTAACACGCACACCTCTTGTAAACACTGCTGCAACAACAAGGCGGGCAAAAGGCAACCGATTCGAGCTATTACTGACAAGCACTTGATTTAGGGGAGCAGGAAAACACGTCGTATAACTGTTATGCACGAAGTATATAAGGAGTCTATGCCCTCACTGAGGGACTTGCTGGTACAGGTTACAGAACATCTAAAACCTGCAAGTATGTTACAGCCCGGAAAAATGCAGAACGCCCACAGTTAGTATTTATAGTACGTATTTATAGTAAATATTTCTTCATATTGTGCCTGTTATTTATGGGTCATGCATTCTCTTCAGGCTGCTCTGTGATGGGGTGACCAACCAGACGAGTATCTGGCACATTTTCCGAGGGTGTTCTTACGCCAAGCTCCTTCCGAGGACAGGAGAGCAAAAATCGGTCTTCCCAGGTGGAAGACCCACAAGGAAGGCACCAGCGTCTAGAACTGATCTTCTGTGGAAGGTGGGAATCTTGGTATTGATTTGAAGAGGGCCAAGACGTGAGTTACACGACCTCAAAACTCGTCAGCTTGGAAAAATTAAACAACAAAAAAACCCCAAACCCCCAAAGTGTGAAAATATTCACTAAATTTAACAAAAAGAGAGTAGGCTGAAGCAAGGAAGAAAACAGGACTGCTTTTCTGTTCCCCTTTCAAACATTTTTGCCAACTTGGAAGGATATCTTGCACCTAAATGAGGGTAAAGGAGAAAAAAAGGACTCTCCAAGTATCCCACAGGAGGCACCACTGTGGCAAGTGTTCTTACTGCTGCCAGTCACCATCAGCAGACGGACATCGCAGCAGCACAGACAGATCAGGCATGAGGTCAGCGGCTGAGGTGGGGGACTGACACAGTGTGTATGACTTTGGGATTACCTGGAGGGATGGGTCTCTCCCTGGGCTTGCCAGGATAGAAGAAACTCTTTATACCTAACAACAAACTCCCCAGTCAGCTGGAGGGTGAAGTGCACTTCTTCCCACCACCCCAGGGTTCCTGGTAAAAGCTACGAAGTCTTTACAAAAGATGAGCCAGAACACGTGCCCGACTCATCCTCTGGGTGCAGTGGCCCTCGCCACCCAGGTTAACGGGGCCCTTCTGACGACAAAGTTCTCGCGGGAGACAGTGGAGAGGGACACCGAGTAACTGTTGTCCGAGCAGCCCCCACATTCTGACCAGCTTTGATGGCCACCTAAACCCAAAACAGCCTAAAAGCACAACGTAGCTCTCAACCACTAATATCACAGCTGCTCATTTTTGTTAGCAGAGACTGCAAACGTGTTGCACTTGCGATCTACCACTGCTCATGGCATGAATGCTGTCTAGAAGGCAGAACGGATGGACTTCTCTACAATCTTATCTAAAAAGACTTTTTAAAATGACAGAGCCATGTGTTTTGTTTTCAAATATAACAACCTCGCCTTCTCCCCTCTCCCCCCAATAGGAAGATAAGGTAAAAGAAATTTTATTTCCCCAAAGCTCTTGGGGCTAATTACATTTTTATGATTGTGAAATCTCTCCTCAGGCTCTCTGTTAAGGGACTTGGGACAAAACAACATTGTCTGCATGTTCTTGGGAAGAACATGGCTAAGTAACAGGGCAGCTTTATTTCTTTCTGCTGTCCTGCCTCAACCCTCAAGGAGCATTTTCTCCGAAGGAACAAATAACTGGTACGGCTGAGATGGGACACAAGATTACATGTGCAAACACCAGGCTCTACTGAAGGCAGCTTTCTGTGGAGATAGAGCACTCCAATTACCACAGTCAACTGCCACATCTTCATTAGCTAATTGAATGCTCATTTGTAGATGCAAACCCTTGATTGAGCACAAGAACTGTCTCGAGCACCCAGTCACCTCACTTATAAATGACCTCGGCTTGCAGTCCTAAAGGCAGCTGCGCCAAGCCACGGGACTAGCACTGCCTCGGTGAGATGGTTGCCCTCCTGTCCAACACATTCCCATTCCCACAGCCCTGACCTATCTCATCTCCTCCCTTCCTTCGCTGGCTCCTGTCCCCTCAGCATCATACCACAAGCTGGCTCAGGTCTCTAACTTGGCAGAAGACAATCCACTTTTTCACAGGTTAGCAGGCTGTAACATTTCTCGAAGGAACCCGATGAAAGCCAAAAGCTGGTGTGAGATGAGTTACTATATACTTTGTGCCTGCACCCCAGCTGAGGATGCATTTGACTGGCTCTCCATCTCTGGAGTCCACAGCCCTCTGGGATGGCCCAAGCAGGTACGTGTCTCACACCCACGTGCAGAGTAATCTGATAAACTCCACAGCACACACAGCTTCTACCCTTTCTTGGTCCTGTTCTGAGGCGCAGTCTGATTTTGTAGGCTGAAGCAGTCCCCAAGCCACCTGAGAGCTCAGCACATCCAGGGTTCATTAAAATCAGCAGAATCTAAGCATCAAAATTTCCACTGGGTTACTGAATTGTTCCTCCCTCTTACCTTTCTTTTAACCAGCCTGTGTCGAGCAGATCTCAACTGACCTGATACATTTATTAGTCCGTACTACCTAACAGGATTTCTTCTAAAAATACCAAAGCTTCTTTGGCCAAAATTTCAGCATTGGATGTTTCTCCACAAAAGCAGCACCATTATCTTGGTGGGTCAAAGTGCCTCTATACTGCAAGGTGGGATTAAGTAGCAAAAGTTGTAAAGAGTTCTTCTTTTCACAGTGTCCATGTTCAGACCGAGCGGGTGATGCAGACTCTCACTGCCAGAGGGTGTTCTAGCGCACCTTTCGTAAACTAGCACATATCCTGAACTTGCAACACAACAACGAGAAAATACTGTGATCCACGAGCCTGTTTTACTACGGGAAGTACGATGAGCTGTAGTTATCACTGCCCGCAAGTGTGAGAGCATGTAGGCTAGGAGGGCCTGCAAGGTAAAGTAAAAACAAAGCCAGAACACAGCAAGATTGCTGAGCTGATACCACTCAGCAGTGGTAACTCGTAACAAAGACATGAATTCCAGAGGGATTCAGAAAAACAACCTCCTGATATGACCAGACAAAGAAGCAGCAGAGAGGAGGAACACAGCAGCTCAGCAATGTCCAGGATCAGCCCATCCCGAACGGCAGAGCCCAGCACTTCCCTACCTGGAAGGCCAGCAGCCCCCTGGGCGGCTGTGCCGGGCTGGGAGAGCAGGCTGGTGCCTCGCAGCAGGTTTGTCCCTGCCTGCGTTGTGGGTGCTGGGAATAAGGACCATGACTGTGCACCCATATCCTGCATGCAGGAGAGAGCTCAGAAGACTCGGTGCTTGGTAAAAGGTGTCCAAGAAGAAGTTAGACAAAGGCTTGAGGGTTACAATGCGGCACATTCAAGCGTGATCAAGAGGTATCCAGTGGAGAGGTTACACCACACCTAGGGCAGTTATACCCAGAGATGAAAAAATATTGAATGAAGAAAGAGAGACCAAGACTCCAGGAATGCAGTCAGGTAATTTAATTGCTTGCACAAGAGCGTAAGGCATGGTCAGGACACCATTGCAGTGTCCATAAGAAACAAACAAAAAACCCCTCAGGCTGAACACCTTTAGGATTGATCCATCGTTATATGTGGTTATAAGCCACTCACTAGGAAAGTTTAAGACATGAAAGTGCTACTGCAACCTGCCCAGACAACTGTTGCTCAAAGAACAAAGGGCAAAGTGACTCTTAATAGCAAAAACAGAGAAGGGAGGAAGAGAAAATGACAGAAACACTGAAGTGGGGATTTTTTTTTGTTTGTTTAAACAAACCTCTGTAACTGAAAAAGAGTAAGGAGTAAATAGGAGAACATTACATTGCATAATAGGAATTTGAT